TGAGGGAACCCCCCGAGTGCACAAATTTTTGTGCAACGGGCCTCTAGTTTAGGATAATAAAAGACAAAGACAATGATGGATTTGGCTGGCCATGAAGTTGGGAATGAGGCTAAAAGTAAGGAAATAAGCAAAGTAAAATACAGCATGGTAGAGAAAAGAAACTTAAATCTTATCTGGACTAATTGGGAGCCAGGAAAGATTTAAAGAGTTAGACTAAAATGCTAAAGAGAGGCTTTTTAAAACCAAGGGAAATTTTGTGTTAATTATGACAAGAAATTGAGGAAAAGAAGACAAATATGTTTGCAAAAACAACACTGGCATTTGAGAATTTGGTGGGGGGACTCATCTGGAAAATGAGAGAAGGAACAGAGGGAAACAGAATCTGTATTGGAGATCTGAAAGTTATTTTTCTGAAAGCTTTCAGTAGTTAAGGTGGAGGTACACACTCTCAGGTAGAGTTTATTAGGTTAAAAAGCAGTTTCTGGAAAGTATTCCAAGGGAAGCCTGTGGATTCAGACATAGGAATCCTGAAGGAGGAGTCTAGCAATCAAAAAACATTGCGTAGAATGGTAGTGCCGTATGATCCTCCATTAACAGAAGGAAGAAAGTCCAAACAGAACTGAGATCACTACATATCTATGTAGTTTTTGGTCTGGGGGGAAAAAAAGAAATAAGCAATACTCAATTGTCTGTTTTCCCATTAATGTTGACTCATCAAGATGATTTTTAAAAGAATCATGAATATTTCATAATAAATATTTTGTCATTGTTATTTAATATATTATAGTATTCATTGACAAATTTAATCATTTTATATATTGCAGTTGCAGCTTTATTAAGGAATAATTGACAAATATAATTGTAAATTTAAAGTGTACAATATAATGTTTTTGTGTACATATACAGTGTGAAATGATTGCTATACTAAGATCAAGATAATTAACACATCTGTCACCTCACAGTTAACTCCTTTTTTTGTGTGATAAGAAAGATTAAATCTACTCTCAGCAACTTTAATAATACAGTATTATTAACGATACTCACTATACTGTATACATTAGAACTTCAGAACTTACTCATGATTTATAGTTTGTACCCTTCTTCCCAGCCCCTGACAACACCATTTTGTTTCTATGAAAGGGGCCTTTTTTTGTTTTTGTTTTTGCCTTTAAAGATTTCACATATAAGTGATGATATACTGTCTTTGTCTTTTCTGCCTGACTTATGTCACATAGCATAATGCCTTCCAGGTTCATCCATGTTTTTTCAAATGTCAGGATTTCCTTTTTCTCATTGCTGAGTAATATTCCATTGTTGTTCATATACCACATTTTCCTGATCCATTCATCCTCTGACACTTAGGTTGTTTCTCTATCTTGGCTATTTTAAATAGTGCTGTAGTGATCATGGGAGTGCAGATATCTATTCCTCTCAGTTACTAATTTTGTTTCCTTCAAATATATATCAGGAGTAGGATTACTAGGTCTATGGTAGCTTCTATTCTTATTTTATTTTTTTAAATTGATTTTAGAGAGAGAGGGAAGGAGAGGGACAGAGAGAGAAACATGGATATATGTGAGAGAAACATCAGTATCAGCTGCCTTCTGCACACCCCCTACTGGGGATTGAGCCCACAACCTGGGCATGTGCCCTCACCAGGAATCCAACCAGCAACCTTTCTGTGCACAGAATGATGCCCAACCAACCGAGCCACACTGGCCAGAACGTGGTAGCTTCTACTTTTAAAGTTGTGGTTTTTTTTAAAAATTGATTTCAGAGCGGAAGGGAGAGGGAGAGAGAGATAGAAACATCAGTGGTGAGAGAGAATCATCAATCGGCTGCCTCCTGCAAGCCCCCTACTGGGGAATGAACCTGCAACCCAGGCATGTGCCCTTGACTGGAATCGAACCTGGGACCTTTCAGTCCACAGGCCGACACTCTGTCCACTGAGCCAAACTAGCTAGGGCGGTAGCTTCTATTTTTAATTTTTTGAGGAACCTCATACTGTTTTCCACTGTGGCTAAACCAATTTACATTCCCACCAACAGTGTACATGAGTTCTTTTTCCTCCACAGCCTTGCCAACATTTACCTCTTGTCTTTTTGGTGATATGTATCCTAACAGGTGTGAAGTGATATCTCACTGGTTTTTATTTCATTTCCTGGATGATTAAAACTCCTAAAAGAAACATAGGGAAAAAGTTACTTGATTTTGGTCTTGACAATGATCGTTTGGCTATAACACCAAAAGCACAAGCAACAAGAGCTGAAATAAACAATGTGACTAGATTAGAGTAAAAAACAAATTAAAAAGGCAACCTATGAAATGGGAGAAAATATTTTCCAATGATATATCTGATAAGGGATTAATATCTGAGATCTATCAGGAGCTCATATAACTCAAAAGCAAAGAGACAATCTGGTTTTAAAAATGGGCAAAAAAACTGAATAGACATTTTTCCCCTCCAAAAAGACATACAGATGGCCATTATTGTACATGAAAGTTGCTCAATATTACTACTCATTATTTCTCAAGCAAAGATTTTATAGATGGCTTTAAAATAAAATGTCAACTAGTTCATCCTTAATTTAAATTGTAAAATTAGAATGACAGAAGAAACATGCTTTTATAGCAGGTGACTTTGCTTTTTTTTTTCTTAAAGAAATCCCACCATGGGTAAGTGTTCCAACTTCTATGGGAACGTATGCACAGGTGACCCAGAGCGCCTCATTTGGATATACCAATACAGATGTCAAAGGGTACTTACTATTAATTAATATGGCTGAGCTTAACCAAAAACTAAGAAGAGAGAAGACACAGGGAACAAACAATGCAAGAAATCACACAGGTTTATTTACCAGAGAGCTGATGGGTTTCAGTCCTTGGCAGGCCCCCCGGAGACACTTGCTGACAGAGACACACGGAGGTCGTCAAATACGCAGCTGCAAATGCTCGGTCTCTTGACATGAAGAGAGGCCTCTAACAGTCTGGGCTCAGAGGCAGAGCAGGAACGGCAGTTTCCAGGGGGAAGGAGAACGTCTTGTCTGTGGAGGAGACAGGCGTAAGGAGAACGGCTTGTCTGTGGAGGTCAGACAGACATCTGACTGCTGCTGTGAGAGTCCTTCTTTTATGCCCCATGGGTGGGCTTCTTCAGTGTCTCATATCAGTGTGCTCTGGTGGCCTTCTGGGCTTATCAGGATACACACTCAGGGAGTTGTTTGTCAGGAGTTACAAGTTATTTGTCAGGAGTTAACATGCAGGGCGTTACAAGTTACTTATCAGGGTCACACACACACACACACACACAAATTAAGTTCCTCTTCTAAGTAAAGTTTAAAATTCACTCTAATAAAAAATATGAAATTTGATTATACTATCTTATACTAACTAAACTTATTACTGTAACAGTAAGGTTTGGTTACTTAGGCAATGGAAATATCTAAAGTTAAGTACTTTAGCAACAGTGTTTATAAATGCTAGGAAATGCCCTTATCTTTAACGCAGAGATGGGGAACATCAGGCTAGCGGGCCCTATACCGCCCACGAAATCATTTGGTCTGAGCCTGCCAAGGCATTAGGAGTGAGTTACGTAAATGTTAGACCAAATATCGCAGGCTAATTTTTAAGCTGATAGTTTTGTATGGCCCACGAACAATGTTATAAATATCCAAATGGCCCCTGGCAGAAAAAAGGTTCCCCACCCCTGCTTAACATAGGGTTTAAGGTATAATAGGTAATTTCTAAAGTCTCCACCAGAGTTGATAGTTCTTTATTTTGTGGATTTCCTTCAGTTTTGGATACAGTTGGTATTAGAAACTTTTAATTATTCAGTGATACATATGGGAGCTACTTTAAGGAACCATAAAAATATGATTTCTTTAGAGTATCTTTTCCTTTAATTCTAAATTTCATTTAAGCTTTCTTTTCCTTTCTTTTCTTTTTCCTTTGCAATAGATACTCCTTTCCTGCCCCTGGATATCTAGTAGTAATACTTACATTAAGTAGGCTTTCTTAATTACTAGAGGCCTGGTGCACGAATTCATGCACAGTGGGGTCCCTTGGCCTGGCCTGCAGGATCAGGCCAAAACTGGCTCTCTGACATCGCCTGAGGAGTCCTGGATTGCAAGAGGGTGCAGGCCAAGCCAAGGGACCCCACTGGTGCACAACTGGGGCCGGGGAGGGATGTGGGAGGTTGGCCAGCCCAGGAGGGACCATGGGAGGGCTCCAGGGCATTCCTGGCCTGTCTTGCTCAGTCCTGATCGGCCAGACCCCAGCAGCAAGCTAACCTACCCGCCAACTGTCTGCCCCTTGGTGGTCAGTGCACATTATAGTGAGCAGTTGAGCAGCCTTAGCATATTATGCTTTGATTGGTTGAACAGATGACCGGATGACCAGACACTTAGCATATTAGGCTTTTATTATATGGAATATTTTGAATCTTGTAGCCAGTGTTAACTATATCATGATCCTTCTGATCAGAGCCATTATTGTTTTTGCGATGGTGGTGGTTCTTTATCTTTCAAGTTTTATCAGTTTTGTATTTTTTGATATTTTCCTTTTAGCATTTTATTTTGAAGTCTAGCATACATGTTGTGGAAGAAGTGCAAATAGAAATGGAAATTGGATTTTGATGTTTTACATCTTGTCAGAAAATCTTTCATAATACTTTCTGGCTGCTGCAAATTTCATTTTTATAGCGATAACATAAAGTCTTATAGTCAAAACAGAATTCTTTCCTAACAATGGAATACTTTATATTTTTTGTGATTTAATAAATAGAAATTTAAAATTATTAATGAGTACTTTCTCCTTTGTCCAAGAGCCAGTGTTGAAACTTTTAAGTAAAATCTGCATGTTAAGGAGTTAAATTCATTTTTAAAAAGTCTTTTAGCCCAGCCAAGTGTGGCTCAGTGATTGAGCGTCGATCCATGAACCAGGAGGTCAGGTCATATGCCTAGGTTGCCGGCTTGATCCCTAGTTGGGGGTGTGCAAGAGGCAGCTGATAAATAATTCTCTCTCATCATTGATGTTTCTATCTCTCTCTCCCTCTCCCTTCCTCTCTCTGAAATTAGTAAAAACATATTTTTGAAGAAGTATTTTAGTTAGAAAAGTATATTAAGGTATGCCGCAAACCCAGAAAATTTCATTACTTAAAAAATGTATTACATAATTAAAAATATATGCTTGCCAAAGAAACCCAACAATTTTATTGCATATGGCAAAGTTTAAACATAAATGATGAAGTGGGAGAAAGTATTAATGCATCTTTAACAAATGAAGAGATCCCCCAAATTAATAAATAAATGCTAGGAAGCATTAAAAATACTGGCAAACAATATATACAGTGTACAAGAAGATGTACCTTTGTACAAATGCAAATTAAGACTTCCCTGAGATGATATTTCTTCACCTAGTTGACTGGCAAAGATAAAGCCTAATAACATACTTTATTTAAATAGATGTGGAGAATCAGTTCCTCTCAAATTTTTTGGCGAGTGTATAAATTTGTATAACTTCTCTGGATGCTTATTTTGAAATTTAAATGTACATACTTTGAGGGCTTTAACTTTAGAAATTTACCCTAGATATATAAATGCACACATATATGAAGGTTTATATACAAGACTTTTTGTTTTGTTAATTCTCATCTGAGGATTTTTTCCATTGATTTTTTAAGAGAGAGTGGAAGGGCGGGAGAGAGAGAAAGAGAGAGAGAGAGAGAGGAGAGGCGGGGATTTTTTGCGGGAGAGAGAGAGAGAGAGAGAGAGAGAGAGAGAGAGAGAGAGAGAAAGAAACATCAATTGGTTGCTTCCTGCACTTGCCCCGATTAGGGTTTGGGATTGAGCCTGCAACTGAGGAATGCCCTTTACTGGAATCGAACCTGGGACCCTTTGGTCCGAAGGCCAATGCTCTATCAACTGAGCAAACCGTAACATCAATTGGTTGCTTCCTGCACTTGCCCCGATTAGGGTTTGGGATTGAGCCTGCAACTGAGGAATGCCCTTTACTGGAATCGAACCTGGGACCCTTTGGTCCAAAGGCCGATGCTCTATCAACTGAGCAAACCGGCCAGGGCTACAAGGCTCTTTCATGAGTTCTTGGTGTCCTTCATATACTAGTATACTTGCGTTGGGTAGGATGTCTCTGGAAGGATGCAGAAAAAGCTACTGGCAATGCTTGCTTCTTGGGACGTAACCTGGGGTGGCTTAAGAGGACACAAATGACAGGGTTGTGTTTTTTTAATATCCTTTATAAAATAAATGAGTGTGTATTACCTGCTAAAATTAACATTCAAAAGGATGACATTGAGCTAAGACTCTGTTGTGAGCCATATGTGAAACATGCCGTCACTGTACATACAGAAGGTATTTTACACCATTGATGGCCAACAGTGCAGCTGTGTTGAGTTGTTTGCTGCTCAGTTCAACATCTGTCCCTCAAAAGGAAGTGTTCCTGACTTCCTCTCCTTACCATAACTTAGCTAGGGCAAGCATCTGTTACATAGATTTAGTCATCCTGTGCATTGTTTTCTGAGCACTACTGCATTTGTGATTAAATGTATTTTCCAATGGTCTAATGTCC